AAAAAAAAAAAAAAAAAAAAAAAAAAAAAAAACAGAGAGAAAAAAAGGTTAAAAGAGCTCGGCTTTCGTGAGCGAGGGTCGGATAGTCGGGTTGAGTCGTCGAGTTGACTGGTGCGAGGCCGCGATAAAGCGTAATTTCCAGCAGCCCCCTTACGTCGGCCCCACCGGCAAGCCTCGGCTTCGTTTTCGGGACCTACGTAATCCGCTTACGAGGGGGTCACCAGGGGTAAGCGCGTAGCCCGGAATCGAGGCGACGTGGAAGGAAGAGGCTCGAACCCAGCTGCCGAAGCCGACGACGCCGACGACGCCGCCGACGACGCCGCCGACAACGTCCTATTTATCAGCAAGGCAAAAAGAAAAAAATAGATAACGCGACTCCCGCGGATAAAAGAGGCTAGGAACTCGCACCATTCGATATAGTACAGCTCCCCCCCTCCCACCATCCCGCCCCACCCTATCCACAGCCGCGAATGACGATCACGAATGACAATCGATCCTAATGAAGGCTCGCGGTGCTGCTAGCGGGGGCGGCATTCAGCCACGACGGCTGATCCGAGACCTTCTAATTGGATAGCGTACGGACGGTCTGGGACTGGTTGATGGGCCCACGGTAACCGGACACCCGATCAACCTCCAGCCTGTCCGACTGCTCGCTCGCAGCGCCTCGAGTGTTTACCATGCAATTAGCAAGCCCGCCACCCCCGTTACCGTCGTTAACGCCCGCCACGTGGCTCTCGACATCGAGGACGGATCGATGCGCGGAGAGTTAAGTGCTGGCCGTTAATGCCGAACGAGCAGACACCAAGTGACGAAACTCCCACGAAGACCCCCGGGGGTGCTCCCGTAATAAAATAAACATTGACACGCGGCCCAAGGATCGGAGGCGCGCGACACCGAGACATTCGTCCCCGAAGAAGCTCCAACAAGTGCAGGCGCGCGGCCTCCGCCACGTATCCATGGCGACGCGATGAGGGCAGTTGCTTGGTCGGAGGCTGACGGCAGGCCGATAAGCGGCTTATGTACGCCCCGGCACCCCGCAGCCGCTCCTCGCCGTGCCCTGGGCTATGCAGCGAAGCCCCGGCGGATCCCCTGCCCGTTCACCCGCGCGCCTCTGTGGCTTCGAAATCGATGGCACTAGATCGACGTCGCGGCTCACCTTGAGGGAAGGCCGCCACCAGCCCGTGAGTGTCCAGAGGATGGGCGTGCGGGTGCCCGTGGCCACCGAGGAAGGGCCCCGAGAGGCCCGGATGGTGACCCGGACCGTGATGAGGATGCGACATGCTGATCTGATGGGCGCCCGGGTGGCTATGGTGATGGGTCACGGCCTGGTGGTGGTACTGCGAGCCGACTACCGAGCTGGGGGCGCAGCCCGCCCCCGCGGCCGCCGCCTTCAGGTACCCCGCCATGTAGCCCGCGAGGCAAGCCAGCTCACCCGCCACTCTGGACCGCGGGCAGCTTCCTGCGCTTTCTCCTTGAACTCGCCTGCGAATACAAAATCAAGCGAACTGGACGTTAGTCGGGCTTTAAATGATGCTGCGCTGCCGGCACTACACTCGCACTTCTCGCGCTCGCGCCCTCCTTGGAAAATCAATTTTTCCATCTTCCATCTCGCCTACTGACGCCGACATAATCGACATTCTCAAAAGCACGGGCTTGAACTCGGTAAAATAAACGTTTCCGGTATTATTACCTTCACCCACCCCATCATTCTCATTCTCATTCTCATTCTCATTCTCATTCTCCCCCCCCCCCCTCCCCTCCCCCAAAGAGCACTCTCAAGCTCATGCGTACATCTATTATTATATGTGAAAGCTTCGCGGTACTATCAAAACTCTAAATGCTTCTTTGCTTCTTTCGTCCCTTCCGCCCTTCCCTCATCTCATCATTCATCCATTCATTCATTCCTTTCTTCCTTCCTTCCTTCCTTCCTTCCTTCCTTCCTTCCTTCCTTCTCTCCTACCGTCACTCCTACCTTCACTCCTACCGTCCCTCCTGCCTCGTCACCATATCTCACCCCCTTTCCTCGGCTTTACGCCCAACAATAGCATTTTTCTTTACCTATATAGAAATAGTCACAACACACTTCCTAGCATACTCTCCTCTCCATTAGATAGCTATCATTTCGTATACCTATATAGCCATCGTTTCGTATACCTATAAAGCCTAATGCTGCTACACCTTATTCCTACCGTGAGCCTAAACGGGACAAGCCCAAAACTACATATCCATAATATTATTTAAAATCCTCAAAACCTTAAGCCGATTATAATTATTAAAAGCTTGCCTCAAAACTCAAGTAGCTCGATTCAATCTGCATGAAAAGTCATGAAATTATCCTCTATACATTGCCAGACTATCTGTCGTTCGTAAATCACAAACAATAAAATCTACAAATAATAAATTTTTACCTTTAATTAGCTGTGATGATTTATGCGGAAATTAAGAGAATTATATATGTGAATGCTCATTGGTTGTCTTGTCATTTATACTAGCGCGCGCGTATTGCCCATCCTACGGGACAATAGACTAATTATTATATATGAAAATTATAGATATTGAGGCGTGGTGGGGTATGTATGTATTGATAAACATAGTGGAAAAACGTATTCAATGCGTATTATTATTCCGTTATGATTTACATAGGTGTCACCTCTTTGTTCGATAAACGCACAATGCATTTACCGATTTACCATTATTTTGTATGACTGTTGTTTTGCGCATAAGCTACATAGAAGTATCAAAATAATTTTACCGCGAAATATCGTTCGTAAGAAATAAAAAATAATGGTTAAACTGCGTGACGAACGGAGGTAAAATTAACAACGACGTCAGCCTGACAAATGATAAAGATTTCGCGATTTATTTCGTTTTACGTCGATTTTTAAGGATAATTTGTTAAACTTTAACAATAAAGAATTTCTGTGCACGTTTGACAAGTGAAGTGAAGTTAAGTAGAAGAAAAAAAAGTATATGAAATACATTGGTAGTAAGTTGGATACCGAATAATTTATGATGCAGTAATTTTTTATGCGTTAAATTTAACAGCGTTACAAACGCTTATTTATCACAAATTTGTATAAAAAAAAAAATAAAGAAAAAAAAAATAAAAGAAAACAAAAAAAAAGAGAGAGAGAGAAAAAAAGAAAATAAGATCAACTAAAATTAAAATAAAAAAAAAACTCCCAATATTGAGTACTTTTATATGAAAATAATAGAGGGCTTTTAAAAATTTTAAATTTCATTATGCATTTATGAATTTGAAAACATTAATGTATGTTAGTTTTTAAATTACGTGTTGTTTTACGGAAATATTCAAGGTTTCTGAAAAAAATTTTCAAACTCGATGTAAGTTTTGACGCGAGGAGTTCCTATTTATCGTATTGTTGTTTTACAAAAACGTAGAACTCTGTATACGCACGAGTTTTTAATTATATTATTACACAAACATATATAATTACTTATAAATGCATGGTAATTGTTCTTTTTATCTTTCATTCTATTTTTTTTTCTTTAATGTAAGTTACGTTGTCGACATTATTTTAAGGATTGGGGCAGGCCAATGTTATCGTCACTTCATTCGATTCTTTCGATTCAAACGTAAATATTCATCTAATAATTTCAAATTTCCCATTTTACTTAACTTATCGCTAACAATAGTAAACACGGTAATTGTTGGGGCATTATGATTTCAAGCCAATTAAAATGTTGTCATAGTTTTGCATTAGTGAATTGGAAAATTATTTTTACCGCCATACATCATGAGCATTAATAAAAGTCGTACAAACGCTCAGACATAAAGAGACTTTGATACATGAAAATGTTAAATATGTATTTTATCTCTCTCTCTCTCTCGTTGATGTAACGCATGTGTAATTATTAATGGCGCAATTGCATAAGAGAATTGAGCAATTTTGAATTTTAATAAGTAATGTAAGTTTGCTTTTAAGCGTAAATGCCGATGAATTTTAGATGAGAATGAGAATTTTTAGATTCTTCTAATGCGACCGTGGCGATGAAAATTTCTTGGTTTTCTCCGCTCGTCGTTTTGTTGCCTAAGAATGTAAGTAAACAAACTGAATCCGAGTAAAGATTCGTACGCTGCACGAGCGTGTATACACACAATTCATTTGTAAACTTTTTTCCTTCTACCGCTAAATATAAACTCGCGTAGCAAACTTGCGTAAAATAGTATATTAACGGAATATTTATAAAATTCGTGAAAAATCGAGTGCGTAGCGTGAATGCTGAAATTTTAATAATGCGGAAATATCCGGCGCCGGGACATCCAGCGTTAAATATTTCAGAGCTAAATCACTCGGAGGGCCAGAATTTCAGAATATTTTTGTTGGATATTTACAGTATAATGAAGGATGATTCCGAGAAGCGAACAGACTCGTGAAAATGCTGTATCGAGAGGCATTTTAGGTGTCTGCGATTTTATTAACGTTAATTTTTAATTATCTCGTACGCACGGAATATTGCTGAATACGCGCAAACAGAGGGCGAAGCGCATATTATATGGAAGAAAGAAAATTTACGATCCACTACCGGCGCACACATATGTTTGACGGTGTAGAATATGATATTTTTAGTGCTTGGGCGCAGGTTGAAGATTTGAAAGCTATAAATCTTTGAGCAAACTTTAATATCAGTCGTTGGAAATTATCGAGGTAAACACAAGCAACGTTGAACGTCATTGACCTATGATTATCAAGGTCTTTGGGCAGAAAGGCTAATGTGTCTCGCGCTATTGAAAAATGCAGAAAAACTTACAAAATACGCTCTGCTTATTTACACGTGCGGCACCCAACGCGCAACATAAGGTCGGTGCTCCTGCTCCTACTACTACTACTACTACTACTACTACTACTACTACTCCAACTACTACTGCTACTATTGCTGCTGGTGCTGCTGTTGCTGTTGCTGTTGCTGCTATTACTGTTGCTACTACTGCTGCTATAACTGTTACTGCTATTGCTGCTGCTGCTCTCCCTCCTCTCTGGTGCGTTGAGACGTGAAATTCCTTCTTTCTCGGCACTTCGAATTCGCGCGTCGATCGGTCAGCTGTCGAAACAAAAGCAGCTTCGCAATGAACACGAACAATGTAAGGAGCAACAATAACAACTCGCGATAGCGGCAGCACTTTTTATCACTGGTGAACCAACGAGCAACGCGAGGAAGAGTCACGAGGCCGCGAGCGAGCGTAGCCACGATGCGTCCCGATCAGAATCAAGAGTCTGACTGGCAAGTGTCGTCCGCGCCGGGCCCCTAAATACGTTTTCCGGACCCGTAGCGCCGTTTTTCCACAGAGGCTTACGGGGGTGGGGCCTTGTTGCCGTCTATCGCCCGTTGGAGGGGAGTAGGGGCACCGAGGGGCGTAATGATGCTTTTGCGGCTAAGGCGATGGGCCCCATTGTTTTCGGGGACTGCGGCTTGCGGGGGCTTGATGATGCCCTTCTTAGCTCCGGCGTCAGCCTGCGCGCCGACATCATTCCATTAAAGTCCCTCGGCCGGTATTTAGTGGCTTGGATTTTGGGAACTCGCGATTGAGAGCCGCTGCGCTTGCTTTTTTTTCATTTTTTTTTTTTTTTTTTTTTTTTTTTTGCGGATCCCCTCGTAAAAGATCGATCCCGATCGTAAAGCGGGGAAAGCAGCGCGCGCGACCTCGGCAAAAAGAGCGCGCGCCATTTACAAGGGCCCGTCGCCGCCGTATCGTCGTCCCCTCTTTAACCGCTGCAGCTCCGCGGGAGGACCCCCCACCCACCCATCCCTCCACCCCTCCTTCTTCACCGCCGATCCTACCACCGTCCTCCCTCTAACGTCATCCCTCATCTTCCACCTCATCCTCTTCCTTCTTCTCCTCCTCCTCCTCCTCCTCGTCCTCTTCTTCCTCCTTCTCCTCCTCCACCTCCTCCTCCTCCTCCTCCTCGTCATCCTCGACCTCCTCCTCCTCCTCCTCGTCCTCCTCGTCGTCCACGTCCACCACCAACTCTTCCACGACCACCTCTTTCTCGACCCCTTGCTCGTCGACAGCCGCCACCGTCGCCCTCGCCCACGCTTTTCCCGCGCTAATAATCGCACACTGCTGCCCCTTTTCCATGAGCGCCGCTGGGGGTCGCCGCCGGCGGCTGTCGAGCCTCGGACTTGGGAAACCCGGGTCTCGTCGGGCACTAGTGGCTACCGGTGCTACGACGCGTCCGAAAAATCCATAAAACGAGGATGCAGGCGCGCATTACCGAGCGAACGAGAGACAGAAAGAGAGAGAGAGAGAGAGAGAGAGAGAGAGAGCAAGAACGAGTGCCCGCGTGTGTATGTCCCCTTTTCCATGGGCGCCGCTGGGGGGCGCCGCCGGCGGCTGTCGAGCCTCGGACTTGGGAAACCCGGGTCTCGTCGGGCACTAGTGGCTACCGGTGCTACGACGCGTCCGAAAAATCCATAAAACGAGGATGCAGGCGCGCATTACCGAGCGAACCCTTGCTCGTCGACAGCCGCCACCGTCGCCCTCGCCCACGCTTTTCCCGCGCTAATAATCGCACACTGCTGCCCCTTTTCCATGAGCGCCGCTGGGGGTCGCCGCCGGCGGCTGTCGAGCCTCGGACTTGGGAAACCCGGGTCTCGTCGGGCACTAGTGGCTACCGGTGCTACGACGCGTCCGAAAAATCCATAAAACGAGGATGCAGGCGCGCATTACCGAGCGAACGATAGACAGAAAGAGAGAGAGAGAGAGAGAGAGAGAGAGAGAGCAAGAACGAGTGCCCGCGTGTGTATGTCGGGCTTGGCGAGCGGGCGAACGGGCGGTCGGGGGGAGGGCGAGCGGGAGGGAGAGGAGAGGCGTACCGGTAGCTTCCTTCCTTCCTGCGCGCGTTCCTGCCATCGGCCGACGCAGGCTCCGCCCTATGCGTTCCGCCGACTCTCCTTCCTCCGGGCTCCCGGCCACTCTCCGCTTTCTCAGCTTTCCCGGCGTGCCCTTGACTTCCCTCCGCAAGCACCCTTTCCGCCATCCG